TATCTACCATTGATCCGGACACAATGGTTTACAATATTTGGATGGACACGGGCGTTCTGAAACGGCCCCGAAAAGTTGGAGATGGGTTAGTGTATAAAAGTAGTTATTAATTCCTTTTTAACTGTTATGTGTTCAATTTGTATATACATATTCGTAACATACACATACATCATACCCCCATTTTATTAATATATACCTTTGATTGTTTTATTTTATTAGTCGTGATCTCACATGCCAGATTCTTTTTTTAGTTTAATCATGATTGAAAATCTATAATATGTGTTATAATTTTTTGTGCAGTTACATTTACTACGACGCGAAGAATAGGAAGTTGAAACCGCCGTTTGATTTCAATGTTACTGTTGTGACGGATAAGAGCTGGTTTTACACTATACATGCACCGGGAAAATTCCTTGATAGTAGTGTGAGTGTTTTAATGTTCATCAATGTCTTTATTGTTAATGACATAAAATAAGTTTTTTTTTTTATCCTGTAATATGATAATTTAAAAATTCTTTTTTTTTTTCATATTTCTCTTCTATTTTTAAACTAATGACTGTTTATGAGAACTAAATTGCAGCACATGGATGTTTTGTTCTACTATCTGCGCAAGAGCGGGTTGTACGGGACGACGACCCAATTAAGGTTCACAACAACCGATGTGCTATTCGACCAGCACATTAAGGCACTATATACATCGTTTTTGGGAAAACCGCCCGGCCAGGTTGCATGCTCTGTCGAGGACATGATTATTGACTATATCTTTGGCCACAAGATTATATGTGGAGTTTCGTGGTCTGATGTCGACCACGTCCTTTTCCCGATGCATGTTGATATTAATGGAATTGGACATTGGATTTTGGGGAGACTGTCTTTGGACGACATGACGTTGTGGGTTTATAATTCCATCAAGTCTGATGACGTTGACAAGATCGTTCTAGATAGTGTTCAAGCTTATGCCGTGATTATTCCTATTTACCTACGTATGATTCACTTCTTCGAGAAGAGGCCTGTTTGTAACACCGATGCGGATGGGCGTGTAAATTTCGACGTGAATTCACCTCTGAAGATAACTGTTGTTCCCGATCTGCCACAGCAACAGAACAAGTACTTTTTTCAACCCAATAAAAATGTGTGTATATGTTATGTGTATTTCTTGTGTATGTTCTATGACATATATATTTATATATTAATTTCTTTTATGTCATGCCCTTTATTTTTATATTTGTTTATGCAGTGACTGCGGTATCTTTGTTGCATCGTTCGCCGAGCATTTCATATCAGCCGTTGATATTACGAGGAAAAAGATAGATGCCACCATAGAGAGGCATAGATTCGGATATTTGCTGTATAAGCATGCCCAATTGAAGATAGAAAAGGATTTGGAGAGTGATGATGAATCTCCTGGTACAATACCTGATGATGTCCGTTTCGGACTCCTTTGAAGATTTATGACAATTATTGTTGATTTGTTTTTGTGTTGAGAAACGGTAGCATTTGGATTCATTTCGTTTTTCTTCCTAGTATTCACTGAATCTTGATCGACTTTTTGTTTAATTATTTTGATGTTATGTTATCCAAAGTTTTCTGATTTCATTTTAACACTGTTTGAAAATTGTTTTATTTTTTTTCATCCCTGTACAAATAATATTTTATAAACAAATCATTTGTACAGTATGTATAAAAAAAAAAAAAAAAAAAAAAAATTAGAAATGTTCATGATCTGAATATACTATGGAACACAAATCAAAAAATTTCAACTTTTTTATATACAACGAATATTAAGCATAGGGATATGTATAATATAATTATATTATGTATATAACATGGACCACGTACTTTGTGCATATCTTACTTGCAGTTTGCTTATATATACTTATTATACTTATGTATAAATTCTAAATGATAAGTATATATTTATTGTACATGTTATGTATATATTATACATGATTTGTACATGAACACATTCATGATACTTAAAATTATTATAACAGTGTCGTCCTAATTAATTTAATATTTACGATTTGAGTTACTTGAGGAAAAGATAAATTATAAAAAATGTTACATCAACATTAACATAATTTATCCCTTTATTGGATTCCGACACGTTTTAATATTGTGCCCTTTCTCGTTACATTTACTGCACCTATTTTTAGACCTATGCTCCCATCCCGACTTTCGTCGTTGCTTCCTCGGCCGACCTGGCTTGGCATTGCCATCAGGTGGATTTAAATGTCGTTCCACAGAGGGTGCTTCGAACATAAAAGTCTGGTTACCTGCTATTGGCATCACCGTATCATCATATGTTCTTAACATAGTCGTTGTTAGGTAGTAAACGGAACAAAATTGAACGGGATCCAAATGCAAGGATTTTATCACACGAATAGCATGGGCACATGGTAGCTCATCCATTTGAAATCTATGACATGAGCATGTCTTGGATTCTATATCCACTATAAATGCTTTCCCATCGGCCAATACCTTGTAGACAGCATCACTAGCTTTTTGTACCTATATATATATATATTAATAATACAAAAAAATTTATGAGAAAGCTACATAATACGAGTATATACTGTATATTTATTTTGTATACTTAATTTTGAAATGATTCAAACTTACATAGAATCTTGTGGCTATCTTGTAGTTATTTTCCAACATACTATGAGGTTTCTTGGCAAGCGCAGTGAATGTGGACTTCGCTTCATCTCTATTCGCCGCACTCCAACGTTGTTGCATGTCTCTAAGTGCCTCTAACAATGTTGTAATCGGGAGCTCCCTCAATGACCTTATCGCAGAATTAATTGTTTCAGCAGCATTAGAAGTCATGGTGAAGTACCTGTTACTCCGACAATGAGCTCTTGCCCACTTGTGTACTCCAAGTTTTACCAAAAATGTTACCACACTAGGATCTAACTTCCTTATCTCTGACATATATCTATCAAACTCCTCGACTGTATATGCTCTTGCCGCTGCATGAAAAGCGTCCTTTACCAACTGAGTTTCTGTCTTAAAATGCATCTTCAAATTATTTGATATGTGATATGTACATAGACAATGTGTTGCGTTAGGGAATACCTGCATATTTAAACAACAACTCCAAATAAGTACATAACATATACAAAGAACATACAGACTATATACAGATCCCTATCAATAAATAATATATTCAAATAATATACACCAAATGTACAGTTTCATTATCTCAGAACATATTCTGTACAGCACATACACAATACATATACATAACATAAACATAACATATACATAACATATACACAGAAAATAATACATAGCAGATTATGAAAACTTACTGTAGACACAGCATGTTTTATGCTTTCGTGGCCATCCGAAACAATGCATATTCCTTCCCTCTCACCAACAACAGACTTCAGTTTGTTAAAAAACCAAGTATAGGATTTATTGTTCTCCGAGTCAACAACACAAAAAGCAAGTGGTAATATGTGAGAACTCGCATCTTGGCAACATGCTGTTAGCAAAACTCCTCCATATGCGGATGTTAGAAATGTCCCGTCCACAACAATAATAGGTAGACAATGACTCCACCCTTTCTTTGATGCATTCAGGGACATGAACACGTACATAAATTTTTTTTCGACTGTCGTGCACAAGCCCACAGTACTTCCTGGGTTAGAAACACGTATCCTCTCGAGGTAATGTTGTATGTATTCATATGATTCATTTGGCTTTCCACGTACCTCCTCAACAGCCTTTCGCTTCGATCGCCAAGCTTTGTGATATGACAAGTTTATCCCAAAACGATTCTGCATATCATCCACGATATCTCCGGGATTATATGTGGTCTTGTTATTAGTGTACTTCGTCTTGATAAAACTACTAACAACGTTAGAAGTTGCCTGACGCTGTCCACCCATACGCACATCCAATGCGCAATGATGCTCAGTCTCGACCTCTCTTATCTTAAATGTACTTGATTGACAAACACGGGATGCCTTCACAAACCATGTGCACTCATCAGACACACACTTCACATAATATTGTTTGCTGCACGATTTCACGACTTTGAATTGATATTGATTCCGTATAGCGTGCATCGTCAATATTCTCTGCAACATTGGTTTATCTGTGAATAACATACCAACAGCGATATTAGATTCCAAATTTACCTCATTCGAGACAATCACTTCGCTGTCCGTGTATATGTTCTGTGTATTTTCTGTATATTTTATGGTATCAACCATCTCTTGAGCCACAGATTGAGCGAAATCCATGAAGTTCAATGGTACTTCTCTCATATATACATAGTTATCGAGTTCCGTATGCCTCAAAGGAGCCACATTTGTTTCGTAACCCACATCACGGACAGTTGGAGATACCATGGGCGAGTTACGGCCATTCATCTGAGACTTCACCACCACGCAAATCGGAAACTTGGTGAATTCTGGTTCATTCGATTTCAATCGTATATAGAAAGCTAGGCTGCTGTCATCATCAAGACACATTGGTGGATAACCATCCTTCAAGCTATATTTCAATTCAAGAGTAGATGAATCAGACACTATCTTGACTTTTTCTCTCAATGCATCACAAAGCTCTCTGTAGCTGCAATTTTTTGGAACCAAGACACCAGACGGTTGAAAATTTACATACTCATTATTAATCCATTCCCCACCGTAATTGAAGAAGATCATAATCGACGTATCCATCTGTGTCATTTACATAAACGAAGATCAAAATACAAAACATAATGATCACAGCATCGCAAGAAAATATACAAACAATATACATATTAAATACCAAAAAAATTACATATATTCTAAAAAAAAAAAACCTACATACTTGTACCTTGTTGAGTGTCGCGATTGACCGTCTATATTATGTATATGTTCGGGTTCGTGCATACATGTGTTTGGTATGAGAATTATGTGTCCGTGTATGAGCTGTAGAAATTTGTCATGAATTTCTGGTATTTTTTTTGAGAGAGAAGATTTTCTTCAATTTGAAATTTTCCTTCTTCACAGGTACAAGAAAACTACCTTAGAAATAGGTTATATCCACCTTCCTTTTATTTCTCCAACTGATTTTCAATCCTCTGCGTAATTGTAGGAACGTGTCAATCCTTTTATTTCGGACGTTTTGAATTCACCAGCAAATAAATGAACTTTAACTTGGTACCCATGCCAATAAGATTTCTCATCTCGTATATCTGCAAATACCTTATTTTCTTGTGGTATTGACAAAAATTCCCCTTAACTATTCTCTCGTTTGGGCCTTCATTGATCCGGTATTTGGGCACACCAGTAAATGATACTTGAGCTCTCCTCAACAACTTCCTCATCCACAAAGAAATACTCTAATATGCTGGAAATAAACATAAAAATATAGATGTATATTAATTCATCCAATTAATAAATAAGTCGAAAAATATAAACATGCGAATAAATTAAATGTATAAAAATACACTATTACATATATAAAACGTGCACATTTTGCGACCTATCGGGCATACACTGGTGGTTCGGCTCCAACAGTCAGACGAGAGTTGAACACGTATGCGGGACGACGATACGCATTAAGAATTAATGCTACAAAATAAAAAGTTATTTAAACGGTGCTAAGGTTCAGTCGTTTAAACTCCGATCAAAATTTACCCAGTTATTGGAACCGTATAAAACTAGGGTTTTCGATTCTCGAAAATCATAACTCATTTAAAGCCGAAATTTAAATCACTAATTTCTATGTGACTTATATGGATTTTATAATCAACAACTGCAGCTAAAATTATATCATACTAATTTTTTTTTTTATATTTATCGCGAAATGAGGCAAACGTCTCAATATTTAATCTATATCAAATGCTGCCAAAAAAATTACCAAATTTTAAATAGCATCCTCATCACATACATGATCTATGGTCAAAATATCGCACCCAAATTCAACCTACGACTCATTCAATTAAAAACGGGCATCAACCGATCAAATATACAAAAATCCCGTTCGTCTCAAACGAACTCCAAAAATTTTCCATCTCGCATCCTACGCCTCAAGACAATTTAATATGATTTATAAAACTAAAATCGCCACTTTATCACTTATATATCAAGGGGTCGAAAAATACCACTTCAAGCTCGAAAAATCCCAATAATTCAAATATCGCTCAAATCACCAAATTACCATTTTTATGACATCTTATTAAGCACATCTAAGCCGTTGGAGTTGGGTTTAAGCCATTATACCTTAAATAGGGCTCAAATCGGAAATAAAAAAAAACTAAGGAAAATGGACCGATGATTGAATCGGGTCAGGTCTAGGGCTGAATCGCTCGGTTTTGGAGCAGTTGGGTCGGACCGGGTCGCTTCTGGGTCGAGGTGGCTCGGTTTGGGTCGACTGGGTCTCTGTTGCGCAGATTTGGGCTGGTTTGGTGCAGGGGCGCGCGAACTCGAGCGTATAGGCGTGCTGGGGAGCTGAACAAGATCGTACGGACGTTGGGCGTGTGGGTCGTCATTAGAAAGGGCTCGCGTACGAACTGTTTGTCCCATTTTTGTTTCGTTTTTAGTCATTATTTTACCATTCTTTTTCCCCTGTATTGAGTCGTTTATGTGGTTTTAGAATCTTTTTGTCATTTATTATGTGTTTGCGTTCATTTGAGTGTTGCGGTGTTTTCTGTTTGTTTTCCGGTCTTTTTCTGTTCTCTTTTCGTTTTTGGTGTGTAGTTTGGAGACCCAGGGAGAACAGGTTTTCGAGAATCTTTTGGGAAGATGACACTATTAGAAAGAGGAGCTCGTTAGCGACACATAGGAAAAAACATAACTCAATTCCGAGTTCAGACGAGCCCAAACGATCCCGAAATGTGTAGCCGAGCAAGCTGCCCACCTCCACGGCGTGAAGACCCTCCGCGGCGCGACGAACACATTCTCTACAGAGCGACGAAGACCTGCTCCACGCCCTCTCCGCGCCGTTAGGACCGCCACGAGCCCAGCAGAACTCCCAGACGTAACCGCCGCGCCGCGATGAAGTCCCACGCCGCGGCACCTGCCTCTCCACGTTGCGCCGAGTTTTTACCACGCCATGTCACGTAATGATATATATATATATATCGTACGAGCATCAGAAAAGAGAATATCTCTCGACTAGGTGAAAACCCTAGGTCCCGAGAAAATCCACGACAACTCATTCTCTCCTTCTCTCATTCTCTTCTTCTTCGTTCGTTTCTTCTTCTTCCCTTAATCTTATTCTTTCTCTTTTTTCTTACTAATTAAGAATTAAAGCTTGTAATTTGGATTCTACCATTAGATTGATTGCAAGTATTTTTCATCTTCTTTAATTCATGAGAATGATTAATTGGGGTGAAATACTTGATTTTGTTGAATCCATGATACGTAGCTAATTTCTATCTAAGGATAGAGAATGATTGATCATGTTTAACGTGCATCTGTCGGGCTTGAATTATTTGTTCTTGTGTGAGTTTATTTAACTCGGTATTGATGTAATCTTGCTTGATTAATTGATATAATCGAAGAGTGATACTTCGATCTTGCAATTGGTAACGATTGGATGTTGGTTAGTCGAGTTGGGGTTTGTCAATTCTATCTAATTAGTTGATTAATCACCTTCTAGTTAAATTAGCGACTTTTTGAACCGAAAGGAAAATAAGTCGTAGACCTAGGCTCCATGAGGTAGATGATTTCGTAGCCGAATAATCTACGTGTTTTGGGTTGAAATACATGTATGTCGGTGTCTTCTCCCTTGTTACGAAAAGTTATTGGGATTGGATTATTGAACAATATTGTATGCTCGAACTTGTTCATCTATGTTCAGTCCCTTGTTGCGAAGAGTTATTAGGAGCGAACCTCTAAATGCTTAAGCGAGAGCGCCAATCTCGAACTGAATAATTGATAGCCCGACTTTGCTGGGCCACTAGGGTGCGCGAGCTTGCTGGGACTAGGCGCACGTACCAAGGAACACGAGTTCAGCGCAGCAGACCCGTGAATGGTGACGTGTACGGTTCGAGCGCGCCGTGGACTCGGGATGCGCAAGGTGGCTGCGACAGTGCGGGTTCGACGGGAACTCGTCGGCGTGAGCTCAAAACAAGCACC